TTTGTGAAACCGCCTGAGGGGGAGATTTGGGTCTACAGCTGCTTGAACCCTCAATGTGCTTCTGCCATGTGGGTGCATGCTGCACGTGCATTGTTTCTCAGAGTTGCAAGGGTTCCTTCTAGGAGTTGCAGTCCAGGAGGTTGTGTTTAGGTCAGCATGGAGAATCTGTTGCAGCCGCCGCTCAGCCATCACTCACAGATTGCATGCAGCAGCTCTGTCGGGCCTTCGGTGTGGATCCAGCGCCACATGAGTCACAGGACATGGCTGTAACAGCACCAATTTTTCGCATTCATATGCCACAGAGTCACAGCCCAGCAACAGAAGGGTATAGGCTTCCATGCAAAGACATCCAAGACAGCACCCAGGTGGCCGCAGCCTTGCCCCATGGCTCACGCACCTGCGGCGACTCCAGTGGCTTTAGCAGAAACCATTGCAACTTTGCAAGCAGACCTTGCCAGAAACAGAGCGGCCGGAGTGCAAGCCAAGCATGCCAGATACCGAGCAAAGAAGGAAGCAGCCTCTGGAGGTTTTAGCCCTCTTGCTTGCAAAGCGATCGTTGCCGTCTATGTGTTGTCGGACTGCAATATGGAGCTAGCGCTTCGCTTCGCTGCCCTGTGGCCAGCAGTCAAGCCGACCTCAGGGACAACACGGGTTGTGGTGGAAGATTTGTTTTTGAGCACCACAGACTTAGACTTGCAGCACATTTTTTCACCTTCCGCGACTCCGTGGGCACGGCCAGTGCGGCATGCAGCCGCTTTTCTGGCAGAGGCTAACACTTTCAACTGGGTTCTGGCTTGCAACCACGTCGGGTAGCACCGCTATCGCTGGATGTCTATGCCACGTGGGAGAAAGCGCGGTTTGGCAGCCTCCTGGAGGGTTTGCCGCCTCGCCGGCATGTGAATCAATGGGTGCAGCGCTTCCGAGCCAAGTGGAACCTGCGGCGCCGAGTCCTACGTCCACAAGTGCACAGGGACCCAGTCACGGTGCAGGCTAAGGCGCCAAGCACGGTCGTGTTTTTGCGACCGTTTTCCGGCTCCAAAAATGGGGCCGGGCAAGCTCATTGCAATTCGGACCTCCTCCCACATGTGGTCATGTTTTCCTAGCCTCCCTGCTCGGCTTCGCCCTGTCAGGTGAGAACCTTTTGGCAGTTACTCTCCTACTACGTGAACACGAAGTTTGTGGACAAGACTCCGCTGTTTTTGAATTTAGACGAAACTAGCATTCCCTACACCATGCTGCAATTGCCCGGCTGCGTTGCTTTGCCACGACATGCCAGTCTTCGCATGCCTGTCCGGAAACAAGACGTGCGAGGGGCTTTGACCTATGTGAGCATCATTTGTGATGCGCCGCATATTCAAGGCAAGTTGCCGCACTACCTTTTTGGGACTGAGACCAAGCTGACACAGAAGTTGCTGAGGGGCCAGCGGCGCTTGCCACAAACGGCGCTGCACATAGTACGTCAGAAAAGTGCTTGGACATCCTGCAAGAACATCACCAAGATTGTGCGCGATCTAGGCAAAGTCTTAAAACCTTATCCATTTCAACCTATCTTGTTGCTGGATGTTGCGTCCTCACATCTCGCAAAGGAAACCATGGTGTGCGCTCGGCGCAATGGTGTCCAGCTCCTGTACATACCAGCCGGATGTACAGACAAAATCCAACCGTTAGATATAGCAGGTTTCCACCCATTGAAAACACATTTGAAGAGGAAGTACCAGGAACTGAGGGCAGGTTCCTGTGAGGGTTTGATAGACCCGTTAGCCTGGCTTTTTGAACTCATGCAGTGTCCCAGCTACTTTGCCGGCAAGAGTTGGAAACGCACTTTTGAATCTGTTGGTGCGGCGAAGCCGCCCGATACGGCGCACCTCCATACGGAGTTGCGAAAATTTATGGATATGCCACTGCATATGCCTCCAGGCAGCAAGCCCTCTAAAGAAGCCATGCAAAGCATCTGGCCTGAGCGACGCCGTATGGCGTACGCGTACACGGCTCTGTTGTGACGAGGTGCGAGCCGGGAGAAAAATTGCGCGGCAGAGCACACATTGGCAGACATACTATCAGGGTACATCGGTGCATGACCATTTTGTCACATTCTCGTAGCCATGTTTCTGGGGTCGTGAACAGGGGTGAAAAGGAGGTACCAGGCAAGCACAAAGAGAACACAGGATCATCTTGAGGACTGCATGCAGTTTGAGTGGAGCAAGCCTGTTGTTCGCCCGCCTCCCGCCTTGAGCAAACGCCGCGGCAGCTGCAGCCCCACCGGCCGCGGCTGATAGGGTTGCTGTGCTGAAGGAAGAGCGCAAAAATTTGAAACGCCAGTTAGCAGCAGCCACCAAAGAACTACAGAACCAGGAGAGTGCATGTAAATGCATGGATACGGTGTCTTTTCGTGAGTGCAGGTGGGACATGTGAACGCTGAACCCATGTTGAAAGACATGTACTCCATAGCCTGCAGGAAAGGAAACGAAGACGTCTTCTACGACAAGCAGGAAAGCTGGATGTGAGTGATTTGACGTGGCTGCTGGCACGTCGCATGCATCCAATGGCAAGCCCGCATGAGTAGAGTCAAGCCGTGCACTATGTGGAAAGCGCCATGCCAAAGACATAGAGCGCTTGGAGTGAGAGCGGCCATGTGAAGGTTCGAAAGCACCATGCCAAAGGCATGGACACTAGGAGGGAAAGCTGGCAACCGCAGACTTGCAAGCGCCATGGTCAAGACATAGAGCGCTTGGAATGAGACCATGTCAAGGCTGAAAATCCCAATGCCAAAGGCATAGCGCGGCAGGAGTGAAAGCTGGAAACCGCAGACTTGCAAGCGCCATGTCGAAGACAAAGCGCTTGGAAGACATGCGCGGTCCAGAGACCCCATTTAGAAGACATCCAGGGATACAACGCTAGATAGACAAGATATCTCCCCAAGAATCTTCCCACACCCCACCTCCAAAACATCACCTCCCCAAGAATCTTCCCACACCCCACCTCCAAAACATCACCTGACCCCCCCTGGTATATTATTATAATTCCCAAACGGGGTATGCGGTCCCGCTCCTATAAATTCACAGGTAAAGTGGTCCCGCCGACGGCGGGACCGGTCCCGCCTGCAACCTGGAATCGTGGGAATTCCCACATTTTGCGGTCCCGCCGCGGTCCCGCTGCGGTCCCGCCTATAGTAATTGCGTACTGTCGCGATTTCATGTTGAATACAGCACTGAGTCCTAGTCAGCAGAAAGCCTTAGCCACTGCGATTCTATAGTTGGATCTGTTCTCTTTGGGTGTATGTCATGTTCTTCAATTCTATAGAGAAGTATTGGCAGAACAAATTTCCCACAACAATTCGTTCATCATCATTGATCATCCTTGTATATAATCGAAGAGGTTGACAGTGAAGACTTGGAGCCTTTGAGCTCTATAAAATTGGGAATGCATAAGGTAAGGTAGGCAAGAGCAACTGGAGCATTCAGGTCAGCTGTCAATGAATGACACTTGGGGAGCCTGATTTTATAGAAGGCCAACTAACCCCCCCAACCAAAAAACGGCTCTACGAGAGTGACTTGGGGGCAGCGATTCTAAAGAGATTGTCAACTTGAAAATACCTTGGGGTCTCTGATTCTATAGATGCATTTTCAGAAAGAGGGCCAATGTCTCCAGAATTATCACTATAAAAGTGTCAACACCGTGTGCAGCAGGTTGCAGGTGCGCTTGGGCTATATCACCCGCAAACGCGCTGTGGAAGCAGTCATGCAGCAGGAGAGCGAAAGTCGCCTCCGACGTGAGCAGGCCGAAGTGGTGGCTCAGCTCCAGCCATTGCAAAAGCCATTTTTGCCAGAAGTGGTTGCCCGAGTCGAAGACTGGGCCAAACAGTATTCCATTTTAGATTCTCGGTACAAATTTCTTGTGCTCCGGGCGCCTTCGCGCGCTGGCAAAAGCACCTTGGCAAATGCCTCCATTTCGTTTTGCCTACGTATATCCAGAAGCCTCCTTTCATTCAAACTGTCCAGGGTGCCACGGCCGCTGAGTTACAACATTACGACAGAGATTCTCACGGCTTTATCCTGTTCGACAATTGCAATTCTATGTCCTTTGTGCTATCTCAGCGGGCCTTATTTCAGGCAAACCCAGACTTTCATCGCTTAGGCCAGTCACAGACGAACATATTCTCATATCAGGTTTATTTATTCAGGGTCCCCATTGTGATCACCATAGATGAATCAACTGACTGGGATGATGACGAACCATGGATTCGCGAGAATCAGCATTTGGTGCAGCTTACCGGCCCGTGTTATCATTTGGAGTAACAGCCTGCATGGGGTAGAGAAAGGCATGGCTTGGGTTAGGTTTGTGAAACCGCCTGCGGGGGAGATTTGGGTCTACAGCTGCTTGAACCCTCAATGTATATATATATATGGATAAATCATGGATAAATCATGGATAAATCTATGGACATTTGATGGGGATTTATCATGATTTATCCATATATAGATATATGTATAGATATCCCCCATTTTGATATACCACATCCCTGATATACCATATGGTATAGTTATTCATCATGATTTATTGATTTATCCCCAAAAAAAGCCCATAGATGTCCATAGTTATCCCACAAGAATGGTGGAAAAAATCAGGGATATGGGGGAAAAACATGTAGTACCCTGGCTGGTGTCATCAAGCTGGGAAATCCCCCCCGGCCCGGTGGTCCATAGACGAGGTTTCGGGAAAATGAGGACGAACAAATCCGAATGGATCAAACTAACTAGCGGCTTGGTGTGACTAGTTTTAAACCAGGGCAGGTATCAACTGTATCAAATGTATCAAATGCTACCCTCTGGCAAATTAACATAGACCCTGAAAACAATCAATTTCTATTGGAAACTAGTCTTCCAACCCCCATCTGCCAGGGTCTATGTTATTTTACTGGAGGGTAATCGCTGAAATATCTTCCCTTCGGTCCCCAGGTGTGACACCTCCATCATTCATGGCTTCAGTGCGCCACGCACCACAGGTTCTGCTCGCTGTGGCGTGGCTTTACAGCGACCGCATTGCATGACGCTCCGAGCAGATCTGCAACGCTTCGTGCACTTTGCAGTGCCTTTGCGATGCGATCCACAAAAACCTGACATGGAAAGTGAAAACTCAGGGGATTTAACCCATATTAACCCCCATATTAACCCCATATTAACCCATACCCATATGATGGGAGTTTCTGAAAATGGGCCCAAACCCCAAAACCAGTTGGCTTTCAAACACTAATTTAGCGACAAATGTAAGGATGATTGGGGGCAACAATGGACATGATCAACCATTGAATATAGATAAAGGGCCATTTTTAATAGGGAACAATTATGATTCAAACGTTTGGGTGGCCACCTCCAAATGTATTCCACAGCATCTTGTCAGTCTGGTCACAGTCAGCTTAAGATACAGTTAGTAAATTAGTATCTATGTTTCTATGAAGATTCTATGTTTTTTTCTGGAATCTTCCTCTGAGACTGTCAGATTCTATGTTGCACATACATACATACATACATACATACATTCATTCATTCATTCATTCATACATACATACATACATATATACATATGAACAGATATTTATAATATACATATATATACATTTATATACAATTATATATGTGACTGTGTATATACATATAGATGATTAATGATTAGATTATATATCATGTCATGTCATCACGGGAGATCCAAGGCGCCCAGGGCCTGGGAGCCAATTGGGCGTCCCGTCCCGCCGAGGCGATGCACATGAAACGGAGTCCCAAGCGATCCTTGCAAGCGACGCTCGGTGAATCCGAAAGCCCCTTGGAAAATGGAGACCAATTGATCATCCAAATTTAATGGTTAATAGTGGTTAATAATGGTTAATAATGGTTAATGATAATTAATAATGGTTAATAACCATTATTAACCATTATTTTCACCACTATGGAATAATGGTTGATCATCCAAATATTGACAGAATTAGTCTTCAAAATTATCATCAATTTTTGTCCATGTCCATTGATATCAAATATCGTGATCATTAAAATGATCATCATTTGATGATCATCATTCAATTGGAGATGTCTTTCTCGTTCCGAAAATATGGATGTGAACAGAATGTGTTTCTTTTATTCCACGAGAACGGGGGCAGACTCGGAGCGAAGTTTTGCAGATGGAGGAACTTGCCATAACTTGCCAGGCATTTCGGAATGGCGCAGCTAGTCTCGATGATTTTCTCGATGATTTACCCTCTGGTAATTTAACGATTTTCCCAGCTAGAAACCTCCATTTATGGTTGGGATTTTCCATGGCGAACTGTTAGTCATAACCAGAGGCTGCCAGGGCCTTTTTTTGGGACCGGAAACCCACTCGGGAAACTTTCCATCCACAGAGCCCGCCTCAACGGGTACCTCCCGGTACCTCACGGGTACCGCCGCGACCAGGGCGCTTTGTGACTGGAAGTTGCCGCAGATTTTTGTCGCTTCGGATGTCACCTGCATTCGAGGATCTCAAGGTGGGGAATGTCACCAATTTTCATGTGGATAGAATGGGCTAGTATGAGATCATAGGGGATATAATGATACATATATATATATACTAGGGTATATAACCAGATATGATTATATTTGGCTTTATTTGAACATGATGAATTTACCTCATTGATTTAAGGGTCATACTTTTTCATAGGGGAAATGATGACAATTTTTCGTGGATTTTGGGGTACCAATTGTGTGGACACTCCACTGGATCCACTGACCCAGTTTCCAAAGGGATGTTCATGTGGGTATGGATCAATACCTATTAATACCATTTTTAGTGGGATGAACATCCATTTACCAGCTATTTTGATGTTCACCAGGGGTACAAGGTTTTGACACACTGCCATGTCTTTTCAATCCCCTTTAATCCCTTTTAAGCTATGGAACACCAGCCAGGTAGTGATTTTTTTGCTTTGCACTGTTCTAGATCCGCCTTCGTCTGCAAGGTGATGGCTATCCTTTTTTGGAGAGGCGGCCACGATGTTTTGACGGATGATCGGCATTGCATCGGGGAAAGAAAAAGGAGAAGAAGAACAAAGAAAGCTAGAAGACTCTCAGAAGACAAGGAAACAGAGTCCTCTGGCTGAGTGCAACTGATTTGGGGTCGCTTACAGTGCAAGCACAGAAACTTCCCGAGGGAATGCTGCAGGGAATGCTTTGAGTCAACCATCAAGGAAGAATTCACCAAGCCAGATCCACTATGAAAGAAGACACCATTGAATAAAAGAAGGAACTAAGGACACAGTTGAGTGAGAAACAAAGAACAACATCAAATAAAAGGGGATATGACACACACACACACACTTGGCATTGGGAAGAGTGAGTAGGAACATGAAATAGAAGAGTTAAGCAAGAAACAAAGGACCGCATGAAAGGCAAAAAGTACATAGACTCGGGCAGACACACGAAACGCATCAGGAAAAGAAGAAGAACTCGAAACGTAAGAGTTGGGCAATTCACAAACTGCGAAAGTACATTGTTTTGGGCAGAACTTGACATTGGAAACGAAGAACATGAAACAAAAGGGTGCAAGAAAGAGACGATCGTGTTAACAAAAGGAGTCTAAGCATTCAGTATATTGGTTTGGGCAGACACATTTGACATTAGAAAACACAGAAAACACTTCACACTCTGCACTCCCCACTCCACACTCCGCAATCTACTACTTCGTATTTCTTTTATTGATGGGTTTCAAGTTGAACAAGATGGGTTATGGCGCACGCTGTTGTTTGTCTTGTGTCCAAAAATGTGTATTTTTTGTTTTTTTTAATTGATTTATTTGTGTATATATATAATATAAATATATTTAATATATATATATATATATAAATAAAATGTATAATATATGATATAAAATATATAATATATAATATATAGTATATAGTATATAAATAATGTACTAGATATAATATAAATAATGTAATATATATATAATACACAAATATAATAATAATAATAACAATAATAATAAATAATAAATAATAATAATATATATACACATATTATATTATATATATTATATATTATATATTATATATATTATAATATATATATACATAATAAAATAATATATATATATAGTTGTGCGCACCCTCGATGAGGTATGGGGCTTAAGCTCACTTTCTTTGAGAGAGCTTGCACAGGTCACCATCGGGAACGTTCTCATGGGCTTTCAGCTTGTGGCCATGGCAGCGTTGGCGTGCACTGGGGGCATTGCTGTGGTTGAACACCCTGCTGAATCTCCTCATCCAGATGATGCCTCTATCTGGCGAACTCCTATCATGCAATTGCTGCTCGCGCTTCCTGAATGTGAGTCTTTCACCCTAGCCCAAGGCTTGTGGGGGGCGCAATCGTCGAAACCGACGACTTTGGGTGTGCTCAACGCACCCCAATTAAGGATGGAGCTGCACAAGGGCCGCATCACCACGGAAGTGCCCAAAGGCAGTTCAGTGGGGAAAGACACCTTAGGAAATTGGGCCACGGCCCGCTTGAAGGAATATCCTCCTGGCCTTTGTCTTGCACTTGCCAGAGGATTCCTCAAGGCGATAGGTGATCTCCCGGAAGACCCTGCTCAGCAGGTCTCCCTGCGAAACCGTGGAATTTTCGGGCCTCTGGTCTGCACCAGCTATGGCCATGCCTACGGACCGGACTTCGCAGGTTGAGTGCTTTTCACCTTTGTTACCTTTTTTCTCTCCAGGGAAGGTCCTGGACGAATTTACAGACCAGCTAGGGCCGCAGCGGAGATCGCTTCTGTGAGTCAGTGCCAAAAAAAATACATATAATATATATATATATATATTTAATACACACACATATACATATATATATATACACTGAATCAAAAAAACAACCTTTTGAAAAAAATCAAATTTGTTCGGGAAAAACTGGTTGTTTCTTTGGCAACAAAACCTGTCAGTGGATGCAAACATCCCAACATTCAGTGGTATTGAGCCCTTGGAGTGGAACGCCAACCGTTCAGCCTGGTGCTACAAAAACCTGCTCCCCATGACGGGATGACTGTGGGATCTGTCCCTCTGGTGGCGCCAAAGATGGACTCAGTGATTTGAAAAAAATCCCCGAGGGAAACGCAGTTTGTTTGCGTTCACATTTATCAAGGAAACGCACTCAAAAACACATAGAAACCATCGACCAATTAGGAGTAAAACGGTGCGTTGTCTTTGAATGCAACTGATTTTGGAGAGACGGGTGCGTTGTCTTTGGAGTTTCCCTAAGGGACATCTTATTTTCATTTCCAACCAATTAGCAGCAAAACATACCAAGTCAGCCTGATCCACTATGAAACAAAACAAAAAGAAATGGCAAAGTTAAACAAAAAACACAGAAAACACATTTAAAAACCTCAAATAAAAAACTGAAAGCACTTTTGTCTCGGGTAGACGCACTTGGCACTGGGAAGAGGAGAACATCGTGGAACACAAGATTTGAGCAAGAAGCAGAGGACGACATCAGAAGAAAACCATGTGATAACGTGTTGGGCAGACGTGTTTGGCATTGGGAAAAACTAGTTGGGCAAACTACAGAAGGCAACATCAGAAAAACAAATCATCAAAAAACATTGTTTTGGGGCAGACAGCCGTGGCATTGGCAAGATTAGTCGAACGTGAAACGTAAGAGTTGAGCAAGAAACAAAGAACAATGTCAAACCAAAAAGATGTGAAAACACCTAGTCTCGAACAGACACACTTGACATTGGGAAGAGGAGAAGATAAACATATATGAAACATGAAACGCCAGAGTCGCAGCTTGCAGGCCTTTTCAATTCCACGTTGTGGGCATGGCACTGTGGACTGCTCGCCCGCGTCTTCGCACTGAGAGACCCATGGCGACCGATTTTAGACCCAATGCGATAAACCTCTCGTGATTTCGACCACCCGTGGTAAAATTTGGCAAACCGGTTTATGATTGGCTTTACCACATTAAGATCTAGTTGATCTACTTGGTGGTTTGGAACATGAATGGATTATTTTTCCATATATTGGGAATGTCAACATCCCAACTGACTCATATTTTTCAGAGGGGTAGGTTGAAACCACCAACCAGAGATACTTTTAGATTTTACAGTAGTCAAACGGGACAGTCGGACACTTTTATTTGTCTCCGTGCAAGAACGAAAGTTTCGCCAAGGGTGAATCGCTCAGGAGATTACCAGGGGGAACGAATGACCATGTATTGTGATTCGGATGATGCCAAAGCCGCTTGGAAAAATCAAGGATGGATGAGCTGGTCACGTCACTGAAAAGAGACATTCGACACGGAACATGGTGTCACCGTTATGTGTGTGTGTTTCTCGCTGTTTCTCAGCAATATGGCATGGAAGTTCCACTTAAGTCCACAACATTAAAAAAATGCTGTAGATTATCAGGAGACTCTTCTGACATAGATGTAGCTTATTGTGACAATTTGATAGTGGAATGAACTACATTAGGATTCAATTGACACCAAAGGGGCCCCAATAGTCGCGACATGCCGAGACAGACAGGCGACTGCAGATGCTGTGGCCGCCGAGGCGTATGAAGTTCGTTTGGAACTTTGTGCCCATGCAGCACTTTTAGCTGCAGGCCCATCTCACGATCCCACCACAGTTGGCTGTGTTTTAGTCGAGTTAGTTGTATAATTGTCATGAGTCTGACATGAGACTGCAGGTGGCATTGAATTGCCAAAAGAGGAGAAACCGGTGCTTGTACTTCCTGTGATTGGACTTGGGGGAAGCTCCTTTCATCCTCAGGCCTGATAGCATTGCTGAGACGTTTCAGTCTATGTGTTGGGAATGAATTGTACTGCTGGCAGAGTGGTTTGGTGAGATTCAGGATGCCGTAGTGCTCGCGCTGAAATCCTTTCGTCGAAGATTCACTCAGTTCTTTCACTCAATTTACGTGGCTGGGCTGAAGAACTCAGTGCGTTTTCATGACTCCACACCGGGATATCAGCATATATCAGCTACATTTAGCTTAGAATTTAGCTACCATGCAAATATTTTACACTCAGAAAGTGACCTGATGGGCCATTCTTTCGACTCACAGCTCAGCTGTTTACTGGACCTTGGATTGGGAAGCTGTGTTTTCCGAGTCTTTCAACTGAGGGGGTCTGATCTTGTGTCTTTCAGTGTTCTCAAGTGACTGTCCATGGTTTAAATTCGATTCCAAAGATCTCATTAAATCCCTTAAAATCCCATTCAATTGGAATCCCATCAATGTGGGTAAGACCATATTAAACCATCCCCCAGTCATCACCATGTCTAATAGGTGGTATGTTTACCATTCCCAGTCATAGGTATTGTTTTTACCACATTGATTCTGGTATATTCTGGTGTGATTACCCTCTGGTAAACATACAAAAAACTATGGAACATCACCATTTTCAATGGGTAAATCCACTATTTCTATGGTCATTTGTTTCATTAAACATCATTAACCATCATAAAAATGACCATAAAAATCACGTTTTTTTCATCAGGATCTGATTAAAACCGATCCGTTGCGCCGTTGCGATCCGAGATTTGTTGTGGAGATCGTGGTCCAAACTATTCCTTGTCCGACTTCGTTGAGTCTGCCGTGAATCGCAGCGTCCCATGACTGCAGTTAGCATTTTTTTTTTGGGACAAAAAGGAAACCCTAAAGGCAGCATTTTTTCAGGGGATAATTCATGGGATAATTTATGTGGATTGAATATGATATCGAATCATCAATGGATTGAGTTGAAAGCAGTTTTCTTCTCCCCAACTAGCAGGTTTCCTGCTGATTTTCCCTTCCAATTCTGTGGAAGGGGATAAACGACCAAGCGTCCATTGTCACCTGATGGCTTTTTGACCACCTTCAGATCCGGTTGGGCTACCGGGGACATGGATTCAAGTCATGAAAAGAATGCCAAATACCATGAAATGCCATGAAATGCCATGGTGTTACGGAAAAAGGCCAACTATTTCCTTTCTGGTGTTGACTTGATTGACTTGTGTCTTTTGACCGTGAAAGGTTCTGTCTCTTTGCCCGCTTTTTCTTGACTTTCCTATGTGTTTTCCTGGTGGGGCTGTCAACACATCTCTTGATTTGCCAACAACTTCACCAGCCCCGAGGCCTACATGATGGCTCTGAACGACTCATTGGCTGCCAAAGCCTTGCCGTGGCACTGGGACCAGAGGCGGCTCAAGAACGGAGAACATGGTGAGCCGTTCTATATCAAGTAGACTTAGTCTTTGACGACGAATCATGTTTCACAAAGCAGATCTCTATCTCTGATCCATGAAACTGGGTAGACCCGGCTTGGGTTGCTATGAATGGGCGAGAAGCACGCAGTTAGACATGACATACAGGATTGGATGTTTTTTTCATGGTCCAACGCCAGGGAAATCCAGATGAGCATTGCTGCATCGAAATTGGAAAAGATCGGACACCACCTGAGGCCTTTTTGTGTCCGTGGCATCGATGGGATTTTTGCATCGAAAAACCGTTGGATGGGCCGAGCCCCGTCTTTTGATATCTTCGTACGGCGGTTGCTACTTGTCATTGACAGAACTGTCGTTTCTTATTTGGAGAACTGTCGTCTTTAAGCAATTTTCGAAGAACTCAGTTGGTTGATGATTCGGGGGGTTAAATCGCGGGTGATGCTAGCCTTTAAAAAAGGGGATTATATTAATCAGAATATCTCAGAATCGTTCATGAATTTCATGAATTCATCGATTCCCTGCATAGGAATGGGCCAGCCTACGTGGTGCGGAAGCTCAGTTTTTGGCAGCTGCTCTTGCTGTGTGTTGATCCATACTGAGGGATGTGGGCATTCAAAATTGAAGGCAGATATTGACAAGCCAATATTTGATATGGCAACTTTGCAACCCCCAAGAAGATAGAAAAGTATCTCATCCCTGGTGATGTGATTTTCATCACTTCTCTATCTTTTTCGGGAGGTGTTTTGTTTTTCTACATGTGAGGTCAATTCCCGTGACTCTGGACGTGGAATGCGTGGCAATGCGTGTTTTTCGCCGAGGTGACAATCAAGGACGACCGCCGAAGTGCGGAGAGGAAGCAGATCGTTGAGAAAGCGGAAGGTGCTCTGACTTGGTGCTTTCGATGGCGGAAGGTCCGGAAGGTGAATGGTGCTTTCTGTATATCTCCCAGCCAACAAAAATCAAGCTCTTCGAAAAAACAAGAGTCACGCTGGTCCAAAGTGACAACATATTCCAGGTACAGGATGGTACAGGAATGTAGGTTTCACACCAAAAAATAGCTGGGATTTATGGTTTTGATTCATCCCCACATCCCAGGGGTCCCAAAATTCCCATGACGTGCTGATGCTCGCTGCGCGCTGCGCCAGTGCACCATGGATTTGGCACTCTGCGCGCGTCTCATCATCGGAAGAAACTGCAAGCAGCCGACGAGCTGATCAAGGTGCATGGTGCACCGCGGGTTGCGGTGGAAGCAGCGATGTTTCTGGAATTACCCACCCTCTGGTTATGACGTTTACATCGCCATGGTTAAGCCATGGCCCATAGAAATAGATGGTTTACCGAACTTAATAGCATGGTGATTTTCTCATGGCAAACTGTTAGTCATAACCAGATGGTAAAGATCAGAATTTGACATTCGTCTGAACATATTCAAAGCACATCACAGCACCACATTCGTCTTGCTTAGTCAAGCTTTGCCAGGCTCAAAGACGCGAGGGCAATTGGCCAGCGGTTCTGCCCTCAGACAGTGCTTCGCATTCTCAGAACTGGTTGAGGGGTGAGAGCCTCTGGTAATTACACTTTGCGAACTTGAAAATGGCCCAGTCGAAATAGTGGATGTTCCCATTCATAGCATGGTGATTTTCCATGGTTTCTTCTAAACGTTTACCAGGCCGGGTAGCCATGATATGCCATGGGTAGCCATTTTCCAGCGATGCCGATGATTCTCGTTAGGACATGGTGCACGTGAAACTTGGAGGCAGGGATTGACAAAGACATCAGCGATTAGAGAACTCATGAGAAATTCATTAAGCTATGAACATCTATGAACAATGAAATGTGTTGTTTTTTCCGAATTGGGGATGTGTGTGCATGTCGTGAAGAAAACACTTTATGCTCATGCTCTATTACTTGGGTTGAAAGGCGTGGAGACCGTAGAAGTCGACAGATGTGCCATTGCTGCGAAGGTTTACGTGACAATTTGGAGCTATCCCCGGAGTTCGAGGATGTGCAGATGTCAGATTTGGAGCGAAATCGAAAGAGTCTGCAGGCGCTGGATGTGCCTGGGTGGATGTGCATCCCAGTCAGACCCAACGACTATCTAAGTGGGGCTTGTCCCTACAAAAAGGGGTTGGATTAGATTAACTATAGATTAACTATATATTTAAGGGCTGCCGCCCCTGCCGCCGACCCCGGAAGAATCGGCAAGGAAGCAAAGCAAATTGGCATAAAAACTCTTCGGTGTTTCGTAGCTTGAGGCTTTCGACCTTTTTCCTATGTATATTGTTGTGAAATATATTTGATAGGTTTGAATTTTCATGTGTAAATGGGTTTTTCATTTGTGTTCATGTTAATATTCTGATCCTATGGTTTTATGGGTTCATGGACCTAAGTAACTGTATAATAGTTAGATAGATAGATAGATAGATAGATAGAGATATATATATATATATGATATTTCTGGCCCTATTATTATACAGCTAGTGTTGCGCCGCACAGGTTCAATTTTCCACCTTATTTCCACCTTGTTAAGACCTGTTAAAAGCTGCTGGCTGCTGCTATCTGCTAGCTGCTGCACGGCTGCCGCTGCTCTTAGCCTGCTAAACACCTCCCGGCAGTAAAACTCTCTACTGAAATCCTACAAATCCTAAAAAAATATATCAGTTTTCCACCTTATTTCCACCTTGTTACAAGCTGTTAAAAGCTGCTGGCTGGCTGCTAGCTGCTGCAATGCTGCCGCTGCTCTTACTGCTACTGCTGGCGGACGCCTGCGAAACACCTCCCGGCAGTAAAACAGTATGGCCCTAAAGGACGAACCGATGCCAAAATCTACGTTTTTCGAGACCGGAACGTCCCTCCTACAAAAATATCATTTTTCCACCTTATTTCCGCCTTGTTACAAGCTGTTAAAAGCTGCTGGCTGCTGCTGGCTGGCTGCTAGCTGCTGCACTGCTGCGGCTGCTCTTAGTGCTTGGCGAACGCCTGCGAAACACCTCCCGGCAGTAAAACAGCATGGCCCTAAAGGACGAACCGATGCCAAAATCTACGTTTTTCGGGGCCGGAACGTTCCTTCTGAAATCCTACAAAAATATCATTTTCCACCTTATTTCCATCTTGTTAAGAGCTGTTAAAAGCTGCTGGCTGCTGCTGACTGGCTGCTAGCTGCTGCACGGCTGCCGCTGCTCTCGCCTGCGAAACACCTCCCGGCAGTAAAACAGCATGGCCCTAAAGGACGAACCGATGCCAAAATCTACTTTTTTCGAGACCGGAACGTCCCTCCTACAAAAATATCATTTTTGCACCTTATTTCCACCTTGTTACAAGCTGTTAAAAGCTGCTGGCTGCTGCTGGCTGGCTGCTAGCTGCTGCACTGCTGCGGCTGCTCTTAGTGCTGCTGCTGGCGAACGCCCGCGAAACAATTCCCGGCAGTAAAACAGCATGGCCCTAAAGGACGAACCGATGCCAAAATCTACGTTTTTCGGGGCCGGAACGTCCCTTCTGAAATCCTACAAAAATATCATTTTGCCACCTTATTTCCATCTTGTTAAGAGCTGTTAAAAGCTGCTGGCTGCTGCTGACTGGCTGCTAGCTGCTGCACGGCTGCCGCTGCTCTTACTGTTATACTGCTACTGCTGGCGAACGCCTGCGAAACACCTCCCGGCAGTAAAACAGCATGGCCCTAAAGGACGAATCGATGCCAAAATCTACGTTTTTCGGGGCCGGAACGTCCCTTCTGAAATCCTACAAAAATATCATTTTTCCACCTTATTTCCATCTTGTTAAGAGCTGTTAAAAGTTGCTGGCTGCTGCTGACTGGCTGCTAGCTGCTGCACGGGTGCCGCTGCTCTTACTGTTATACTGCTACTGCTGGCGAAGGCCTGCGAAACACCTCCCGGCAGTAAAACAGCATGGCCCTAAAGGACGAACCGATGCCAAAATCTACGTTTTTCGGGGCCGGAACGTCCCTTGTGAAATATCTTACAAAAATATCATTTTTCCACCTTATTTCCACCTGGTTACAAGCTGTTAAAAGCTGCTGGCTGCTGCTGGCTGGCTGCTAGCTGCTGCACTGCTGCGGCTGCTCTTACTGCTGTGGCTGGCGAACGCCTGCGAAACACCTCCCAGCAGTAAAACAGCATGGCCCTATAAAGGACGAACCGATGCCAAAATCTACGTTTTTCGGGGCCGGAACGTCCCGTCTGAAATCCTACAAAAATATCATGTTTTCCACCTTATTTCCACCTTGTTAAGAGCTGTTAAAAGCTGCTGGCTGCTGCTGGCTGCTAGCTGCTGCACGGCTGCCGCTGCTCTTACTGCTATACTGCTGGCGAACGCCTGCGAAACACCTCCCAGCAGTAAAACAGCATGACCCTAAAGGACGAACCGATGCCAAAATCTACGTTTTTCGGGGCCGGAACGTCCCTTCTGAAATCCTACAAAAATATCATGTTTTCCACCTTATTTCCACCTTGTTAAGAGCTGTTAAAAGCTGCTGGCTGCTGCTAGCTGCTGCACTGCTGCGGCTGCTCTGACTGCTGCTGCTGGCAAACGCCTGCGAAACACCTCCCGGCAGTAAAACAGCATGGCCCTAATGGACGAACCAATGCCAAAATCTACGTTTTTCGGGGCCGGAACGTCCCTTCTGAAATCCTACAAAAATATATTTCTTCCACCTTATTATTTCCACCCTGTTAAGAGCTGTTAAAAGCTGCTGGCGGCTGCTGGCTGCTAGCTGCTGCACTACTGCCGCTGCTCTTACTGCTACTGCTGGCGGACGCCTGCGAAACACTTCCCGGCAGTAAAACAGCATGGCCCTAAAGGACGAACCGATGCCAAAATCTACGTTTTTCGAGGCCGGAACGTCCCTTCTGAAACCTACAAAAATATCATTTATCATTTTTCTACCTTATTTCCATCTTGTTACAAGCTGTTAAAAGCTGCTGGCTGCTGCTGGCTGGCTGCTAGCTGCTGCACTGCTGCGGCTGCTCTTACTGCTGCTGCTGGCAAACGCCTGCGAAACACCTCCCGGCAGTAAAACAGCATGGCCCTAAAGGACGAACCGATGCCAAAATCGACGTTTTTCGGGGCCAAAACGTCCCTTCTGAAATCCTACAAAAATATCATTTTGCCACCTTATTTCCACCTTGTTAAGAGCTGTTAAAAGCTGCTGGCTGCTGCTGGCTGCTAGCTGCTGTAACCAAAAGAACTATGAAAATTTGCTTTGGCAATGAGAAATCCTCAATTTCAACAGGTGAAATTTCAATTGCCAACTTACCAGGAAGGAGATTACAAGCTGTTAAAGCTGCTGGCTGCAGCTGGCTGGCTGCTAGCTGCTGCACTGCTGCGGCTGCTCTTAGTGCTGCTGCTGGCGAACGCCTGCGAAACACCTCCCGGCAGTAAAACAGCATGGCCCTAAAGGACGAACCGATGCCAAAATCTACGTTTTTCGGGGCCGGAACGTCCCTTCTGAAATCCTACAAAAATATCATTTATCATTTTTCTACCTTATTTCCATCTTGTTAAGAGCTGTTAAAAGCTGCTGGCTGGCTACTGGCTGCTGCACTGCTGCCGCTTCTCTTACTGCTGCTGCTGGCGAACGGCTGCGAAACACCTCCCGGCAGTAAAACAGCATGGCCCTAAAGGACGAACCGATGCCAAAATCTACGTTTTTCGGGGCCGGAACGTCCCTTCTGAAATCCTACAAAAATATCATTTTTCCACCTTATTTCCATCTTGTTAAGAGCTGTTAAAAGCTGCTGGCTGCTGCTGGCTGGCTGCTAGCTGCTGCACTGCTGCGGCTGCTCTTACTGCTGTGGCTGGCGAACGCCTGCGAAACACCTCCCGGCAGTAAAACAGCATGGCCCTAAAGGACGAACCGATGCCAAAATCTACGTTTTTCGGGGCCGGAACGTCCCTTCTGAAATCCTATAAAAAAATTTCATTTTTATCATTTTTCCACCTTATTTTTACCTTGTTAAGAGCTGTTAAAAGCTGCTGGCTGCTGCTGGCTGGCTGCTAGCTGCTGCACGGCTGCCGCTGCTCTTAGCCTGCTAAACACCTCCCGGCAGTAAAATTGCCTTCTGCTCTGGATCTTTGCAAAAAATTGGTTGCTGCTGCTGCTGCAGCTGACCAAAAACGCGGCTTCCGGCAAGGCAGCGGTTGCCCTTACTGCTACTGATGCTGCTGGAACCGTAGAAAGTTTCTGAATCTTTACCAACAATTGGCTGCTGCAGCTGCTGTTGCTGCTACTGCTGCTAAATTTGCACAGACAGAAAATATTTGCCAAAAATTGGCGGCTGCTGCTGCTGCTGCTACTGCTGCTGTTTCTGCTGCAGCTCCTGCTGCGGCTGCTGCAGCTGCTGTTGCTCCTGCTGTTCCTACTGTTCCGCTGCTGTTGGCTGCTAGTAGCAGTCCGAGAATCCCACCAAAAAACTGTCTAACGTTGCTTCTGAAAACCTAGAAATTTAGATTGCTGCTTCTGGTGGTGGTGTGCCTAAACTTGCTTGTCTTTGCTTGTCTTATTCCCTGGCGCGCTCCCCCTTGCGTCTGCCGGGGTCGGCGGATAATCAGTTTTTTACCTTACTGCTACTGCTGCTGCTGGACTCACTGCCGCTGCTACTGCCACGGCCGCTGCTGTGGCTGCTGCTGCAGCTCCCGGCAGCAAAACACCATGGCCCTAAAGGACGAACCGAGTCCAAAATGTACGTTTCCCGGGGCCGGAACGTCCCTTCTGAAATCCTACAAAGAGCGTGCTGCTGGTGCGGAAAGTTATTATAATCAGTTTTTTACCTTACTGCTACTGCGGCTGCTGGACTCACTGCTGCCGCTGCTACTGCCACCACCGCTGCTGTGGCTGCTGCTGCAGCTCCCGGCAGCAAAACACCATGGCCCTAAAGGACGAACCAAGTCCAAAATGTACGTTCCCCGGGGCCGAAACGTCCCTTCTGAAATCCTACAGAAAGCTTGCCGCTGCTACTGCCACGGCCGCCGCTTTGGCTGCTGCCGCAGCTCCCGGCAGCAAAAAACTAGGCCCTATGTCCAAAATGTGCGTTTCTTACTGCTACTGCTGCTGTTGGAGTCACTGCTGCCGCTGCTACTGCCACGGCTGCTGCTCTGGCTGCTGCTGCAGCTCCCAGCAGC